TACTATACTATATAGTGCTAGAGCGGGTTGTTATAGGCTATAATAGAGTTTGTTAGGGTAGGGTCTTAGCAAAAGTAAGCGACTTAGGTGTGTGAGCAACTCGCCCATGAAGTACGTTACCTAATAGCGTACAGCTACTGCAGCACTTATAGGAGGCAGCTAGAGAAGCAGCAGGCTTGTTGCAGAGGTTATCTTATACACTATAGCAAGAGGGTTTTCTACGCAGTGCCCTAGTTAACTAGGTTATAGTGTAAAATTAGTTATTTAAAAAGCTTATTTTAATAAAGACTTATAGTTTTATTAGCTAAAATTATATAAATTTTTTCACTACTTTACTATATTCTGCTACTACGCTCTTTAAGAATATCTATGCTGCACTTATGTAGTAAAAAAAGAAGATTTAAATAATACTAATTACTATACTATTAAAAATTATGCTAAGTGTAAATATATAGTGTTCTAGAAACTACTTTTTCTTTTTTATAGTAGTAGCTTACTTTATTATTATACACACATAGGCTACTATTATAAGAACTTTATAACTAACAATAGCTAAATGCTTTACACACTTAGTAAGACTTTTTAATTAGCTTTAAAAACTTATATAGTAACTATACTAGTAGTGTAAGCCTCTAAAATAGCTACTGTTATTAATAAGTATAATATTATATTAAAATTTAGCTACTTTATTAAAAATAATATATTAAATAATAATAATAATAAGCTTATTTAGAGCCTTAATAAGAAGCTTAACTTACTATATAAGCTTAATAAACAGCACTAAATCTACTGCACTGCCTATATAATCTAAGTAGTTATTAAAGCTATTATATATAGTAAATATGTTATAAAATTTAAGTAAAAGCTTACTAAAGCTACTCTATATAATTAATTTAAGCTATTGTCACGGTTATGTTACAGCTATCCAACCCCTGAGTACCCTAAGGGCTTGGCACGGGGTATATAGGCTCCTCGGCCTCCGTACCTCTGCCTCCGACCCTAAGGTTTACTCTCGTTACCCCCCCTATCCTGCATTCCCTCTCTGTGACCTGTGTTTCCTGCTCGATACCTCTCACATTGTAAACCTTCACATATCCCCTTGGGATGAGCAGTCCGCGCAGCGCAGCTGGAGGAAGCTTGACCCCATCAATTTTGATGGCGACAACGCTTGCTACAAAACAAGCTAAGTTAAACAAGCTTAGGCACCGCAACTGACAGGAGATGCAGGTACCCCTCATCCTTAATTGTCAGCTTGCGAGCCGCCCATCCACTGAGCCGCCCATCCACCGAGCCGCCCATGCCCCGTCATTAATCCGAGCCCTCACCGGCTACTTTGCGTACGCGCACCGATTGAGCGTTCAAGCTCTCGAGCGGATACAGTGGTGGTGGTGGTGGTGGTTGAATGCAGGATTGTTGTCAGCTGCACTAGCGCCAAGAACCTTGTGTTTCAGCGCGAAGCACCTTGTGTTTCAGCAAGAGGTGCAGCGCAGACAGCTTTGTAATGCAACTGCCCTTAAGCTCTGGGTGGCTTTGGGAAGTACCTGGGAAGCCTCCGGGCCGTATCCGGATCGCCTTCGGGCCTCCTGGATGGCTTTGGGCTACACCTGGTTTGCCTCCGGGCCGTATCCAGATGGCCTATAGGCCTGCAATTGCCTGCTGGCTTTGCGAAGTTGCATTACTGCCAGATGGTCTTCGGGCCGTATCCGGATGGCCGTCGGCCTATACCTGGATGGCTTTGGACCGCACCTGGTTTGCCTCCGGGCCGTATCTAGATCGCCTACGGGCCTCCTAGATGGCTTTGGGCTACATCTAGTTTGCTAGCAAACTATGCAAGGTTTGGCAACGGAATTTTTTTTAAACCAACCTTAGCTACCTCTTTCCAAGGGCTCGGGACGCGCCCTAAGAAGGAGGGGGATAGGTAGACTATCCCTACTATTAGCCCTATCCTATGAGCTACTACCTACCTTGGCGAAGGCAGGTAAGAAGGAAGGGTGGGACATGGAGGTTCCTCCTTAGGGAGATCTCCCATTAAAGTTGACTTAGTCGCACCAGTACTGGACAGCGTACGGGCTGTTACTGGATAGCCTACGGGCCCTACTGGATTGTAGTTGCTTTAAGCTGCGGCTTGCAATTACACTGAGCTGCGGCTCCACTGCACGGAGATTTAGACAACATCAGACAGGCCACGCCTGATTAAGTCTAGTTGCATGTACAGCATTACTGCCTAGTGCCATCGCATATGCCTTTGTGTATTCTAGCAAAGCAATGCCTTGCAGTTCTTGCTAAGCCCGCCAGCTTGTGCAACCTCCTGTGCCGTACAGCCCCTATGGCAATGCTCACCGGCCTAGGAGCTTATAGCTGTGGCAATGTACGCCCTCACAATGAGCTTAACACCTCATTTGTAAGGATGTAAAGCGCTTGATCCCCGCTTTGCATAGTCGCGCTGGAAGTTGAGCCTGACGTCCCTCAATTACACGTATCTAGCACTGTCGCTGCGAGGTCTGGCCACCTTGTGGTAGCAG